GGTTTAAACTCATTAGGCATTTACTTCAGAGCTCGCTTCTCCTCCCATCAACTTCACATCCCCTCATTTCAACCCGAGACAGACAGGTAAGAGCGAGGGGGAGTCGAAGCCTTCCAAGACCGAATATCAAAGACGACGTCTGCTTTTTCATCCCCTGCTTAGGGATCAGATTGGAGAGAAGTATTTAGGCATCTCAACGGGTCTCGACTCCCAGGAGGAGACGGGGGGTTGGTTAGGCGTGAAGGCTTTTGCTGTTGTTGACAAACTTGTTTTTAGAAGGATTTTTTTCTTCTTTTTTTTTTTCCTTCTGTCTCAACATGAGATGCAACCATCCATCATGGCCGTTCTCCCGTATTGAGGGTCCGACTTGTGTTTGATGGAGCAAAAAAAAAAAAAAAGAGAAAAAAGATGCGTTCTGTTTGTGAAAATGAGTCACGTTGTATTTTCAGACAATTTAAACCCGAGGTGTGCTACTGCTACCTCTCTTTCATTTCTCGTTATTTCTCTTTCCATCAGTGTTTGAGTATTTTAATTGGCTCTGTGGGGTGTAATGGAGAGTCAGGGTACAGCTCATTTTAAACAGATTGCATTCTGTAGGTTTATATTGAAGTATAAAATGGCCATGACAGTTCTGGGAAGAATGAAGGGATGTTTGTTGTTTTAGTGTTGATGAAACGGCAGCTGACCCTTTACATGTTTTTTAAAAAGATGTGACAAGGACATTATATTCCGGGCCCAGTTGCCTGGATGTGAAATTTATTAAAATATTTTTCTAATAAAAAAAAAAACAATTATGATATTGTGAGGAATATTTAGCATATGTGACCCTGGACCACAAAATCAATTATGCATTCTTGACATTGAAAGTTCTGTATCAACTAAAAGCAGAATAATAAAAAAAAAGTTTTTTATTGATGTATACTTAGGAAAGTATAATAGCAAAGTATTCAATTTGGCCATGATGAAACCATTTGAAAATCTTGAATCTGAGGGTTAAAAAAATCTAAATACTGAGAAAATCATAATTGGTTGTATATAAATGAATGCTTTGCAATGTACATTACTAATCAAAAATTAACTTTTGATACATTTGCAGTGCAAAATGTCAAATGATTTTTGGCGTAAAAGAGAAAATAAGTTTGACCCATACAGTGTATTGTTGGATATTTCATATGTAATATATCATCTAGTGTCACATACAATCACCGGCCACTTTATTAGGTACACCTTACTAATACCGGGTTGGACCCCCTTTTGCCCTCAAAACTGCCTTAATTTTTTGTGGCATAGATTCAACAAGATACTGGAAATATTGCTCAGAGATTTTGGTTCATATTGACAGATTTCATTATGTGTGAAGCTCTCATTCCACCACATCCCAAATGTGCTCTATTGAATTGAGATCTGGTGGCTGTGAAGGCCATTTGAGTACAGTGAACTCATTGTCATGTTCAAGAAACCAGTCTGAGATGATTCATGCTTTATGACATGGCACGTTATCCTGCTGGAAGTAGCCATCAGAAGATGGGTACACTTTGATCATGGTATTAATGGACCCAAAGTGTGCCAAGAAAATATTTCACACACTATTACACCACCAGCAGCCTGAATCATGCATACCATTTACCATTTCTATGTTGCAGCAGAAATTGAGACTCATCAGACGTGGCAGCGTTTTTCCAATCTTCTATTATCCAATTTTGGTGAGCCTATGCGAATTGTAGCCTAATTTTTTTCCTGTTCTTAGCTGACAGGAGTGGCACACGGTGGGGTCTTCTGCTGTTGTAGCCCATCCGCCCCAAGGTTTGATGTGTTTTGCATTCAGAGATGCTTTTCTGCATACCTCCGCTTTGTTGTATCGAGTGGTTATTTTAGTTAGTGTTGCCTTTCTATCGGCTTGAACCATTCTGTCCATTCTCTGCTGACCTCGGGCATCAACAAGACATTTGCGCCCATAGAACTGCGGCTCACTGGATATTTTCTCTTATTCAGACAATTCTCTGTAAACCCTAGAGATGGTTGGGTGTAAAAAAAAACAGTAGATCAGCAGTTTCTGAAATAGGCAGACCAGCCCATCTAGCACCAACAACCACGCCATGTTCAAAGTCACTTAAATCACCTTTCTTCCTTATTTTGATGCTCAGTTTGAACTGCAGCAGATCATCTTGACCATGTCTACATGCCTAAATGCATTGAGTTGCTGCCATGTGATTGGCTGATTACAAATTTGTGGTTAAACAGGTGTACCTAATAAAGTGCCCGGTCAGTGTATATGTAGTTAATTGTTATGAAATGACTTTAGTTTATTTCTTTTTTCATCATTAGTGGTATAAATAAATATTAATATCAAGTAACATGGAAAAAAAATCATTCTAATATTTTGGGCCATGTTATATCCACCTCATCACTCTCTCACTGTAAAATCTCAATGGCCTAAAATGGAAAGACAATCAATTGATCTATTTTTTTTTATATAAACCAGATGGAGTTTTCTCCTATAACTTAACTTAAATAGTTGCTTGAGTATGACTTGCAGCTTTCACTTTTGACTATAATACATTTTCCAGCCTACATTACTTTGCAGATATGCCTACTCCATTACCGTCAAATGTGGCATAATTCACTTAAATTGAGATTCTGGGTGGCAGAATTCAGCATTTTCTTTTTTTTCCCTGTGCTGGAGAGCTGATAGGAAGCAATTTCTAGATAATCCATTCTGAAGCAAACAGTCCCTTGACTTTGAGTCTGCGCTCATACAGTCTCACCGCTCTCTCTCATCTCACATGGTGTTTGAACAGTAGGAACGTCTTCCCATGCCATTTTAGACCAATCACTTGCTGACTAGGAGACCATTTCAACCCGACTTTCAGCATATTTCACCCTGTTACAATCTCTGCTGGATAATTTGGACCTGTGTGGTGAATTATTATAGATATTACGGGCAGATTTAAACCTTATTTAGCCCGTGCTATCGATTTTCACTTAGTGCCCCCAGAAGCGCGCCGCCACAGAGAGTTGCGAGCGGAAAATGGCAAGTCAAATTCAATCCGCATACAGCAGGTAAAAATGACCTTTATTAGAGGGCTGTAAGTAAGCCAGGGGAGATCCATCCATGTTGTGTTAAACAGCGGGCCACTGTGGAGCCCAGGCAGAATAAATTAGGAAGGAGGGATATCATTTATTGCGCACTGCTGCACCAGGGGTAAACCGACATCATTAATAATCCTGCCGGTTGCATTTGCTTCCATTTCTCTGAATTTAAATAGAGGTCCTGCTATTGAAATGTTGGGCATTAGACTCTGGGTTCTTCGCTAGACTCAAGCAAATATGCCATAGCACTTTCATTATCGTTTGAGTAATGGATTACATACTCGTCTGTTGGACTGACTAGTATTGAAGTTTCATTAATAGACTGACTGGGCTAATCTGTGCTCAATTTCTCAGTTGTAGTGCTCGACGAAGGTGCCAATGGTCTAAAATCTTGATGAGTGAAATCCTTCCTTAATGATGAGTAAAATCCTTCCTTCCTTAATAAATATTGCATAATGGCTTGTTTGTTGCATGAAAGACAACTGATAGCTTGGGATTACTGACGAAAATTTTGGAGACATTTTCCTTATGGTACTTTTATTATTGTTTGGTCGTCTAGTATTGGGCCAATACCAATTCTTTTTATGCACCCCTTCCCCTTGGCCCTTGAAACAGAATGTGAGAAGGAAGGGCTTCAAAATTTAGGCCCAATCCCAATTCTACCCCTTAGCCCTTCCCCTTACTTCCATTTTGCGTGTTTCTCGTGAAGGCGTATGGGTGTCCCAATTCTCTTTAGCTTGAAGGTGTAGGGCTAAGGGGAAGGGCTAGATAGCCCTTCAAACAGAGATTTGTCAGGACCACATTCGAAACCAAGGGGTACAAAAAATTCCCAGACTACACCAGCTACAACCGCAGCATGATTGCACACGGAAGTCAGGAGACGCTGTTATAAATGTATCAAAACGTATTCTTGTTTGTTGTAAAAAATTGTAATAATGACAAAAAAAACAAAAAACTAATTTGTGCATCTCCTGACTTCTGTGTGCAGCCATTCTGCTGTTGTAGATGGTGTATTTTGGGAAATTTTCATAGCCCTTGGTTTCGAGTGTGGTCCTGAAAAAAATGTTTCACGGGCTATCTAACCCTTCCCCTTATCCCTACACCTTCAAGCTAAAGAGAATTGGGACTCCCTTACCCCTTCATGTGAACTGAACAAGGGGTAAGAGGAAGGGCTAAGAAATATAATTAGGATTGGGCCTTTAGTGTAGGTTTCTATTTGGTTTAGAAATCAAAAAGTTAATTTGGCACATCATACCTTGTGACTGTGAATTGTCAGGTTTGTGTTTGTGTCTCTCTAATTGTGAATCCCATCTTAGGGGACAAATTGATGCAGACACCTTAATTCCCATTCCCTGAGAAATGGCCACCATGGGAGACATTGTGAAATTGATTGTATTTCTTTGTCCTATTATCTACAATGCAAGAGATTCCGGTAAAACCTGTAAAATCAAATAACTCATTACTTGTAAAACAACATGTCATAGAACACGCGAGTGCCATTAATAGACAAGATTGCACTTCCCCGGTTTTTCTTAATTTTGAGTTTGCAAAACACTTTCTTTCCTGGGCATTGAAGTTTGTCTCCTAAGAGAGGGGGTAATTGTGAAAGAAAACTATTAAAAAGTTGTTAATCCTAAATGGAATCAATGAAGTACACTGAAAAAAATTTGGAGTAGGATTTACTTAAAAAAAGTTAGGAAAGTTTTTTCACTTAGAAAATGTGAGTAATTTCAATAGAATTCCCAAGTAAAAACTAAACACAAGGAACTGTAGCTTTAATTAGAAAATCTCAAGTAAAGTTTACTTGGAATTTCCCAGTAAACTGTATTGACTGTTTGTTTATATATTTTACTTAAGTAATGCTTATAAATGTTTTTTTTTTACACAATAATCCTAGTTATCTTATTTAAAATTTTGAGTAACCTTTACTTTAAATATTATTTGATGTTGTTGATGTATTTAAATGGTGGTCAACAAAATAACAGACATACATTTTACTTGAATACTTTTATTTCTATGAGATTCCTTAACAGATGAGAGCATCAGATGCACTATAGTGCATTTTACTCCAGGAAACTTTTTTAGAATATCACACATGCATTAAAATGCATAAACATTTAAACATATAAACATAAAATATACCTTTTTAAATATAACAAACATTTTACAAAAATCTCAGTTGCAGATATCAAATACAAAAGTGTGAAAGTGCAAATAATGTCAAACTAGTAGCTGCCTTTCATTAGGTAACTTTAATTTCAATAAGATTAAACTAAGGGAACAAAAACATCAAAAAATAAAAAAATAAAACTCTGCATTTATAGTCTCCAGAAGAATGGTTATGTTAAACAGTACTGTAGTTGAAGTTGTAGTTGTTTTCTGAACAACCTTTCATGCAAAAAAAAACAAAAAAAAAACAGTAAAACAGCATAAGTAGTGTAAATAAGTGCAAGTAGTGCTCAACTAGCAGATTACATTAGAAGCTTTCTATGCAAAGAGTTAACCTTTGGAGAGAATTTTAAAGCATCTAGGCCAAGAAAGATTTTCTGAAACACTTCAAATGTGTTTCTCAGCTTTGGGGGATAGCTTAGGTTTAGGGAGTAAATGCAGCCCATGAGTGAAAGACATGCATTTGTGAGATTTTTACATCCCAGCAGCACCTCAGTTCCCTCGATGACAATGATGACATCAGATCTACTGGCATCTTCCTCTTCTACAGATCTGCTCAGGACGATGATTTTCATGACATGACTGGCGAAGGTATCCTTAATCATGTCTCTGCTGACATCCTGTGAAATACACAAATCAGTGCAAAGTGGTTAAAATACTGTACAGTATCACTTTTTCAATTTTCCTCAATGGGTTCCTGTTCTGAGACAAACTGTCCACTAGTCTTCAGTATATTTAGCATTTTCTGCATATTTAAACCCAATATGCAGTTTCTTCAGCAGTATCTGTATGCTGTTAAGTAATACTTTTACATTGAACACAATAATGAGACTCATACACAATTATTACAGTAGATAGAAACATTTAGTGATGCTAATAAAGATAACACTGTACATTTAGAGTCAGGAGGGTGTAAACCTCTGGAAATGATAATTAGTGTAAATTATTATGTCTTTTGGGAAACATTTGAATGGTTTCTATAGACAATATATAAATGAAAGATAAGAAATATATACAAAATAACAATTTACACTGGAAATCCTGTCTAAAATTTTACATACACCTGACATTTAAATGTATGGTGCTGCCTTCTTGACCATCACTGGGTGTTCTATAAGTTTTGTAACAATGGTGTATAAGCCTTTCAATTTTCCTCAGTATAAAAACATGGATCTCAGCATCATCGTCAGTGCTTGACAGGGTTCAAATATGCAGAAAACAAATACAGTATATCAGTCAAACCACTACTGTCTACATCCAAAAATCAAGGAAAAATATAAATGGATGTAGCTGTGTATGTAGCTAGCTAACTGCTAGCTGCTACACTAATTATTGTATATCCATGTCTGGACCCCGCCTCCCAGTATGACGTTAGATGACCCAAGACTTGACGACGCCAGGCCATGTAAGGACTTCAAACAAAGTCAGCACTAGACTAATAATTGATTATTACTTTTTCTTTGATTTGTTTCAATTTATTGATCATTCAACAATGTGTGTTTTGTAAAGCTGCCTTGTAACATTGTACACTGTAAAAAGTACTATACAAATAAATTTGAATTTAATTGAACTGTAATACCTGGTGGTCTTCAATGAGCTCCTCAGCTGATTCTCCAAGGAAAGACAGGAGGCAGCGAATCACAACGTCTCGCCTATCTTCAAGCCTATCTTCTTGCTGTTAAAAACAGAAGTAAAATGCAGCGAACATTAAATGTGTATACATCTACATATAACAACATATTTACAGAGTCAGGAAGCAGCATACCATCCCATAAGTGATTCACAATTGTAAACAAAATTTACATTTTACCTGGCTGAGTGAATCCAGCAAATGTCTAATTCTTATGCCAGCAACCCCACCCTTCATCTCAAACAAAGCCAGGAGTTTTGGAGTATAGAAGTCCAGCTTTTCCAAGAATGTACGCTCCAAGGAAATTGTGGTGATTCTTCTAAATTCATTCTTGATCTAAAACAGAAAATAAAATGTAACACAATCAAGTGATGATTAGAGTTGAGTGCACTGGTAAATTTTTGTATTGCACTTCAAAAAATTTATATTTGAAATCACTGCATATTATGCCAACAAAGAAAAGAAGTGAAGTTTACCTCAGATTCACAGAAAAGGGCTGGCCATCTCTCCAGGAAATCTTTAACAGCAGGGCAGTCCTTAACTACTTCTGTTCTTCGATAGGAGAAAGTCTTCTCCATTTTCTCGCCAATGATGTTTTTGTTGTTTTTCTTCCTAATTTCATTAAGGAGATCTAGTCTCTCCTTCTCCAAACTTTCTCCTGTTTCCCCAAATGGAAATGGTGGCAAGTAATTTACTTCAGCCTTCCTAGGTCTTTTGAAGCCTTTTGGAGTAGGGTTTTCATTTGTCTTCCTTTTCTGGTTCACCTCAAGCTCTGGGCAAGAAAGCTGGCTACCTCTTAATTTGGCTCGATAATTTCCCATTTTATATTTAATCCTTTGTTGCCACCCATATTGTCCATTAAAGGACCCTGGCTCTTTGAGGCATGGATACTTTTCAATCAACATCTCCACTACATTCATAATTTGGACACCTGTTGGATATGCAGTGTAACAAAATATTGTCTCTGCTAGCGTCTCAAGGACACTACTTGTCACTCTATGATTGTTCAAGAGAGTGCCGTCCTTTTGGTAGGCTTTGTTTCCATCTGAAAGCAAGAGCTCAGTATCAAAGGAGAAAGTAGGTACTATAAACTTTGTTTGCCATCCTTGAGAACGGCATGATGTGGTAGTCTCAGAGGACGATAAAAGAACAGTGTCCTGAGATCCGCTGGATGTGGAGTCAGAAGAAAGGTAAGTGTCACTTACAGGAGTCAGCCCAACAGTGTCCTGAGAACTGCATGACCTGGCATCAGACTCTGTTGGTAGAGTTGATCTATTCATAGCAACCATATTTAGGGTGATGGGTTCAGTTTGTACTACTTTTAGAGTACATTTATCCTGCACATCATCTACTGAGTCCAAATTGAAAAACTGTCCCCCAAATTCCATGTCTTCATACATCAAAGTAAAGCATTCTGGAATACTGAATGTTTCTTGGATTATACTTTTGAGCTCCTGGAGAGTACTGGGGATGCCTGAGGGCAGAACCAATTTGCGAACATCATTCTCTCCAAAAACTAATCGCAGCTTTGCTGGGGTGCACATCTGCAACAGATACAAAAAAATAAATGAACAATTTATTACAATATGAATTAAGTACAATATTAACTTTGATAATCATGTACCTAAACAGAAGGAGTAATGTAGTGCTTTAAGGTAGTTAGTCGTCTTCCTGCAACAGTGTATGCAGCCAGAGGATAGTAGTCTACCATTTCTTTTTGCTCCAGTATCTGAATGTTGCCTGTGTGTTCCAACTCATAGCTCCTAAAGTGCTCGTTATACCATGTGCTTAGTAGTCTGACAACAAAGGCCAGTTCATTACAAACCAAAATAATCTGTAACACCTCAGAAAAGTCTGGCAAATCTGCAGTAAAGCCATGACATAGCAACATCCCTGGTTTGTAGTTGGTGCCTGAGAAGTGCATATTGTTTGCAACATGCACCACTGTGACATGTGGATACCTGTGTTGCACCAAATCTTTTATTCCATCCTTTAGCACATCCACAGAGACTTGTGAAGTTGTTGTGACTGAAAGTGATGACTTTGTCACATTTGAATCATGGAGATGCAATGCAACCATGAGCTGGTGTTTTTTTGCAAGGGACAGCAGTATGTTCCTGAAACAGCCTGTTTGTCTGACAATTTTTTTAAAAAAGCTATGTTTAGCTTCAAATCTCATGGTCCACAGGGCTGCCAAAGGACCAAATTCCTGAATAAGCTCAGGGTAGTGTTCGAGAAAGTGGTGTTTGGGGAGGAGCTTTTCTTGAGGAAAAACTTCCAGATATCTGTTTCGGTGCTCAGATATTAAAGTGGCAAGGTAGCAGATGCTCTGCTCAGTATGCACTGGGGCCACTGCAAGTTCCACGATGTCTTTAAGGGTCATTAACATCTGCCATACTTCATCATCCTCAGGTACTTTCAAACCTATTATGAGAGGCAACAGACGCAACAGACACCAATTTTCGTGTGCATTTCCTCCTACAGTTCTTTTTGTGGCAAAATGACTAGGAATCACATGTGGACGATTTGTTTGGTCACTCCACTTATAAGGGAACTGTTGAATGCAAGTATTGAGCTCCACAAGAGAAAAATATCTCTTCTTGATGAAGTCTTGAAATGACAATGCCAGTTCCAATGGAACGACACCTTCAAGAAGGTCATGTAACACATCTGGTGGGTAACCAGATGTTACATGAAAATGTTGTAGTTTTTCAGACAGTGCACACTGTTTTTTCACACCATAGCAATGAGTGGAAATAGGACTTGACATAGCCGTCTCAACATGCAGAGTGTGCTGCTCTTTATCTCTCCTCTGAAAAAGTCCAGATCTTACATCTGTGGTCTGAAACTGGGACCTTTCTCCAAGACAAAATCTGCAGACATTAGATCCTGTGAAGTTTTCAACGAATCCTCCCAAAGAATGGGCTCCCAAATTATCAGCCACCACGCTCACCACAGTGCCTTTCATGATTTTTCCTAAACTTGGAATAAAAATACCATCTTTTTCCAAGCTTTGAAGATCTGTCAGGAGTGGCTCTAAAACTTTCTGATATCCAAATCGCTTTGTGTCATCTGCTTTGCACAGAATAGCTAAATTGATAGAAGCTAGTGTTGATCGTGCATGTGCTGGAAAGTTTCCTAACACCCAATAGACGGCCGTAACTTTGTGGATCTTGCGGGAAGTTCCCAAGGGGTTGCACACTTCGAAATCATCGATATACAGAATAAGACTTAATCTATCCTCATCTCCAGCCAAAAAATAATTTTTACTGAAGTGAGATCCATCTTGGAAAGACTGGTATTGTGATGCACATCCAGATTTTCTTTGAGTGACCAAGTCTTTTTCTTCTACATTCTTCAAGATTTGCAATAACGACTGAAGTATTGGGACATACTGGAATGTTCTGTTGTCTTTATTGTGTAGTATGTATTCTACTGGTTCAACGACTGAAAAATGTGCTTTCATGAATTGTGACCTCTTAAATGACGTTGAAAAAGGGCCATCTTTCCCTAGAGCTGAACTTAAAGGGTGTGATTCACAAAGATTTTTTACCAAATCTGAGATAACCGCTGAATGTACTTCACAGTTATGTTTCTTCAAAGTGGACTCAACAACATCTTTCAAAACTGGAGCAGATGCAGCGGAAGATAGGAACTGAAGGTCATCTACAATTTGATCAATACACTTGCCGGACACATTGAAATTACTTTGCAACTTTAGAAGAAGTTGTCCAAACTTCTTCTTTACAACTTCAAGTAAGTTCTCTCCTGCATCAACCAAAGTTTCATCAAGTTCTGTGTCATCATCAGAGACCTCTAGATCATTTTGAAAAGCAGCAGGATTTGGGTATTTTTTCAAGACTTCAGTTTTAAAATCTTCAATGGAGTGTGTATTGTGTTTCCTGTGTTTATGAGTCGCAAAGGTTGAATAAATGTTGGTACTGAAGCTGCAGTTTTTGAACACACATGTCATTACCTCATACCTCCTCATATGGCTTCTAAGGTGTTCAAAATATTGCTTCTCCGAAGAGAATGGAGTTGCACTGCATTTTAGACAACTAAATGACAGCACCTCGCTTGGTTTGTCTGATTCCGTGTGGTTTCGGGATAAGTGTATCTGAAGGGCATTAAATGTTTTAAATGAACAAGGACAATCTGCATAAAGACATGGTATTGATGATTGACGGCCTGCATTTCCATGTTTGAGCCTTAAGTGTTTTAATAGCTGTAGTCTTCGGTTTGACTGAAAGCTGCATTTTTTACATAACCACCTCATTCTCCAGCACCTAAAGTTAACAAACGATGCACATGTGAATGCATACTTATTGCTACCTATCTGTGAGGTGTGCTGTAATAAAGTATTGCCAACTTACCTTGCATTAGCTTGAATACTGAGTGCAATATCTGTAAAAGAATGTAAGAAATGTTTATGTCAGAATTAATTTTTAACTACTTGCAAATATCAACCACGTGTAAAGTAGATATTGGTCAGTAAAAGAACATCATGAAACAAAATACAGGCTTTACAACTTATGTAAGGTTGATTGTTAAGTAATTAAGATTTATTTAAACAAGCATTTAGACTTGTGTAAATGCAAAAGTGTGCAGTACAGTCACCTTATCGATTTCTATATATAGCTATTATACCCGATAGTATAGGTAAACAATATAAATAAAGTTCAAGGTAATATTTGCCTTTTACAAGTGCATTTTAAAAACTAAGCTTAATCCTGTATGATTAATACGCGAAAAACAGGGTGATTATTAAATTTCGGCAGCTCGAACTTTTCTGGGACAGAATGCTTGAACACGACAGGGCAATGTATGGAAGCCCGTTCCCGCCACTAAATAAAAAAAAATTTAATAAATAAAATGAAATAAAAAAAATTCTAAAGTCAGAATTCTGAGTTAAGTCGCAATTCCGAGTTATAAAGTCAGAATTCTGAGTTATAAAGTCAGAATTGCGAGTTATAAAGTCAGAATTCTGAGTTATAAAGTCAGAATTGCGAGTTATAAAGTCAGAATTGCGAGATATTAAGTCAGAATTGCGAGTTATTAAGGAGTTTCCTGTTATGGCGACTGACCATAAATGGAGTGTTAAAGACTCACATTAGCCCATAATCACAACATAAAGCCTATATCCAACTGTTTATTGTTTATCACGCTTTTAAAAAGAAAATATAGGCTAGTTAAACTAGGCTGTCTATTTATTTGTATGGATTTGTTCTTTATAATTATGCCACTTACAACATTTGGTCTAAATAGCAATTATAAAGCATTAAACAGAAACTAGCTGTAGCTTGTGTGATTCCTCCAAAAGACTAAAATTAAGATTTCTTTATTATTTCTGTATTATATGTGTAACGATATGATTTACATTTTGTTACAGCTGTTGTTTCACGTTGTAAGGGTGCCCTCATGTGGTGTACATATGTACAGACATATGCAGGCTATTGTACACAGGGATAAAACTAAAAGGGCTGTATTAGTTCATATTTCAGTTCAGTAAAAGTGTCAACCAAATACTGTGTCCTCCTGGCCTTTATTGGGAAAATTGGGCTGTGAATCCATACCAGATCACAAGCAGAGAACCTGAAAGAGTCTTTAACACACATTTATGGTCAGTCGCCATAACAGTAAAGTCCATAACTCGGAATTGCGACTTTATAACTCAGAATTCTGACTTTATATCTCGCAATTCTGACTTTATAACTCAGAATTCTGACTTTATAACTCAGAATTCTGACTTTATAACTCGCAATTCTGACTTTATATCTCGCAATTCTGACTTTATAACTCGGAAATCTGACTTTATAACTCGGAATTCTGACTTTATAACTCGCAATTCTGACTTTATATCTCGCAATTCTGACTTTATAACTCGGAATTCTGACTTTATAACTCGCAATTCTGACTTTATATCTCGCAATTCTGACTTTATAACTCAGAATTCTGACTTTATATCTCGCAATTCTGACTTTATAACTCGGAATTCTGACTTTATAACTCAGAATTCTGACTTTATATCTCGCAATTCTGACTTTATAACTCAGAATTCTGACTTTATATCTCGCAATTCTGACTTTATAACTCGCAATTCTGACTTTATATCTCGCAATTCTGACTTTATATGCGGGAACGGGCTTCCATAGCAATGCCTCGAGCTAAATTTGCACGGATGTTAAAACTCATTTTTACAATAATCTGACAAGATTAGGTCATATATAAAACTTAAGACAATTGTTTTCGACAGATCATGCCGTTTGCTAATAACGGATTGTGGTGCAAATCGCAAACTCCGTCAACTATATTAATAGCTTTATTTAGTAATGATTTAACTCTGTTATCCGTGTGTTAAACAAAACAAAACTAAGATTACGTTTTAACGTTATCCAAAAATCTGTTAGCAATTAACATGAACACTTTAGCATCCGTAACTTGATAAAAAAGAAACGGTATAGGCACAAACCACTGGGACTGCAGATAGCTTAATAACTCTACACTTTTCTGCAAACATTCTTCGATTAATTAATAAGCTTATTAATAACTTACCGTGGTAAAAATCACTTTAGCCGTCGTGAAGTCTCTCTTCCTTTCCTCTGTGCGCGCCACTTCAAACTCAGAGCCAAAGACGCATGCGCATCAATTATCTTGCTGAACAGTACATTTTACTTGAGTTGTTCATTTTTTGGTGTGATTTGATTAGATGGCAAACACTAAGTAAATATTACTTAGGAGATTGTATTCAAATCTACATATGTATTTTAGAACAATAAATGACAAAGAAACTGCAAGTAATGTACTGAATTAAACATGCCATTTTTAAGTAAAAAGACAAAATAGTATTTGTTTGTAAAACATACTTAAATAATGTTTCCATTATTTACAAGGTCAAAAAATCACTTTTTACAGTGTAATAGATCTTGTGGTTTTTTTTTTTATTTTTATTGTTGTTCATCAGTTTTTTTTTATGAACTCTGAGTAATTGGTTTTGTTTTTTGTTTTCTCTATTTTACATTCTTTGTAATTGGTTTAGTATTTCACATTTAATTAAATTGGGCTGGTCATAATGTGTTTGACTTGTGAGACACTATAACTTTTTTTTTTTGCATCTCAACACTGAGGTAGCTTTTATAGACCGCTTAAGTGAAATATGTTATGTTTTATTAATTTGCACAGTGATTTTATTGTGCTACTTTTCATTTTATTTAGCTGTGGTGCTGCAAGGGAGTGCTGCTAATTGAAACCATGCAGGAATCACTGATTTGAGAAAAATCTGTAAAGTGATGCATCAGGAAACTTATAGAGTTTACCACAGTGATGCCCAATGTAGGGCCCATGGTTTGCGAACTGAAGAGTGGGGGGGAGGGGGTGTTTTGTGATTTGCGAACTGAAGAGCGGGGGGAGGGAAGTAATTCACTTACTGAACGGCAGGGGGTGGTGTGTGTGTGTGTGTGGACGGTGGTGTAGGGGTTAAATTCCGGGTGTTTTCTGGGAGACAGAACTAAATGGGAAATGGGTCTAAAATATGGAAGACTCACGGAAAAAACAGGAGTGTTGGCAGGTATGGTTATCACCCCAGCATAAACTATAATTGTGAAAACAACGATACATTTAAAGCATTCCTGCATTGGGCTCTTGATGAGCTGTGGTGGGCATTTCTCTTCCTACACATGCTGCACTCAGTAGACCAATCACAACATATTCTGTCATCGGACTAGGGCTGCACAATTATGGCTAACATGAGAATCACGATTTTTTTTGCTTAAAATCAAGATCAGGATTTTCTCACAATTCTGTAGATGCAGAATTATGCTATGCAGGTTCTGTTCACTAAAGCAGACATCTTTGATGGGGACGCGCGTGTTCTCTCGGTAGTGAACAGTGTGTCAGCTCACCTGTGATTTTGCAGCCGCGAATATGTCATTACATGAAGACAAAAAATGACATATTTGGTTCAATTATACCTTATAAATACAGTATGCGACACTTTTAACGTCATTTTTGGAGGTGTACATGTTGCTGAGCAACGTATTTCAAACAATATAAAGACTTGTGCGTCTGCCTTTTACTATTCTCTCCTGACCATGAAAATATAATTGGCTGAACTGTAGAAAAGCTGAATTAAGATCATGTTTATGGTTGAATCGATTAATCGTGCAGCCCTACATCGCACCAATTACTGTCAAGCAAAGGAGGGGTTTTGGGAAAAAAAATAATCACTGAACAAATCATGTGGGAGTCATTGAAATAATTGGGTGAAAATAAATGCAAATCAAACGATAATGAAATTTTTTTTGACCTTGCATGCATATCAGATTCCTGTAGGAGACCCCCAAAACCTAAATATGACTTTTATAATTAGGGTTAAAGGGGCCCCTTTGATTTTGAGCATTCTGACATTCTACTCATTTGACATTGTACTTTTTGCATATTGTTCAAGGAAAGATACATTTTGGTACAACTGCTATATATGATGAGACTTTTAGGTTAAATGAAATCCAGATATATTTGTTTTGGATGGTACAGGCTATCATCAGAATCGCTAAAGGTGCATTTGTTTTTTAACCCAATAAGATCTTTAAGTTTTCACATAAACATAGCTTCTTTTTTTATATATTTCTTTTATTTTAACAACTATGTTTTTATTCTACCAAAGATATAATGTGCCAAATCGCTTTCATATTCTATCCATGGTACTTGGATGATTGGAGTGCTCTGTTTTTGTTTACATACTGATTTAAAGGAAAATATCTGCAGCGCTTAAAGTTGAGGATGGCTTTATCCCATGTAATCCGTCTTTACTGTGCTTTATGATATACAACATTATCAGAGTGAGAAAATGTATTGCTGCGTTTGCAAATGGTGTTAACACATTACTCTGGAAGGATAAAACCATTTTAGGGGCATGTAATTCCTCTGAGCTCACACTATTAATTTTCAATTGAAAAGCCAAGGAACACTGGGACCAACAACAAATGTGCAAGATAAATTTCTTAATACGAACTGTGGATTGTCTTTACGCAGATTACGTTTTAAAATGAAGGGCACAGAGTAAACATAAATGACACAATCTGTATCAGGACAAGGATGACAATGCTAAATTGTATTGGGGGAAGAAGAAGCTGATTGAACCCGCTTTTGTAGTATTGTACGTCTATTATTGGGGAAATCCGTGATGATAAAGAAGAGGCATTAATATTCAGAAGCATTCACTCACTCCAAACGACCCAGGTACTTTTAATTGCTTTTCATATCTGATGAGATTCCCTCCATTGATTGACTGTGCCTTCTCATTTATTGTAGCTTATAGAATTTATCTGAAGCTGATAGAAATGGTTCCCATGACACTAGTACAGTTACTCACACTCCCTACAGCACTCACATACTTGGAACTAAATCTGCAGTTTGTGGTTTGCAGTATACCTGGCAAATTAAGAAATTATTAAATACTTATATCTTTACTAATTAATAGTTTGATAATTAAAAATAATGTTACTTGTGATATCTGAATGGGATACATTTTTAGGGTTTAAATAAACAATCTCACACACAATACTTGGTAGAAAATGCATTAAAGGGCCCCTATTTGACTCCTTTTTTAAGATTTAAGATAAGTCTTTTGTGTCTCCAGAAGGTTTGTGTAAAATGGTTGTGTCATTGTCAGACTGAAAAATGTCCACTATTTATTGTACCTTATCAAGTATGTCATCATGCTATTAAAAAAAAAAAATGTTTGTCTTCATGCTATATTATGCTAATTTAATCACAAAGAATTAAATAAAAATGCATTATTAGACCTCACTCTATACTGAATCGTTTTCATCAATCATTTTTTAACTTGAGTTAACAAGCTACCTTTTATTGCTCAACAGGAATACCATGCAACATACA